TGAATTCCAGTTCAAACACCACGGAAATGTCCTGACATCTTTTGGATGTCCTGAAGGCGACCCTGGACTCCTGCAGCTTCAGGGGTGAGGCTGGTGAAAGTCCAAGGCAGACTCTCATCCTGTGGTTACCTATGTTCAATGCAAGTAGGACTCCTGGTGACGCGGGCGTCTGCTGCCAAACGGAGGGAGCTGGCTGGGAGAGAACGGGATCATCAAGTTGGATTTGGGGCAGGGAGAGACCCTGAGGAAAGTGGGAGCCATTGAGGCCCTCAATTCTGATGGGTCTTCTTTTCCAGTGGAAGAGGCCTCTATACCCCCCCCCCCAACCCGGGGTTCTACTTCTCTGGAGGACCCTGACTCGTATTTCCCTATGTTATAAAAGATTTTTAAATTTTCTTCAACTAGGTAGGAATGTAAAATCCACTCTCGGCTGGTGAGCTAGCTGACAAGAGCAGGGGCTGGAGGGGATTTCCCCCCGACGGTGCTTCATGGACCCCTGCTATAAGCTGGTAGTTGCGTCAGGAGGTTTGATCTGAGTCAGGCTGCACTGGGAGGAGACAGAGAAACCAGTGTTCCTAGAAGCGGGGCTGTGGGTGACTGGGACGACGAGGGAACGTTGGCCCTCTTGGTGAGTGTGCTCGTGAGTGCATGGTTTGATCGATGTGTATCTGTCAGCTTCCATTACGGAGCAAAACACCTGGGAGGGTCAACTCAAAAAGAGGAATGGTAACGGTTTGTTTGGGCTCATGGCTTCAGGGGCTTCGGTCCATGGTCACTGGGCCCCATTGCTCTGGGCCTGTGGTCAGGCAGAAGGTCATGGCAGGAAGCGTGAGGTGGAGAAGCTGCTGACCTCTTGGCATCCAGGAAACAAAGAGAGGGTGGAAGGAACCTCGGCCCTGTGGTCCCCTTTGAGGGCACCCTCCTATAACCTGAAACCTCACCTCTTGGAGTTTCCACCACCTTTCCATAGCACCTTGGGCTGAGGGCCAAGCCTCCGATACACGGGCCTAGTTTGAGATCCTACCTGTCCATCTACCTATGATCTGTCTGTCTGTCGTCTGTCTGTCTCTGATCTCTCCATCCGGGATTTATCTATCCATCTACATGAAGAGAGGGAGGGAGGGATCCGATGTTGGGTGGGATGTGAAATGGGGGGGTGTCTGACACGAGGTCAACATGTAAAAAGGGGTGGGGGTGGTGGACACGGGGGGATTGAGGGCTGCTGAACCTGGCCTCACACCAAAGACGCCCAGGGAGCGCCTGCCCCAGCCCCGCCTGCCCCAGACACGCTCAGGACACTCACACTGGCCCACAGGTGGCTTTCGACTCTTTCCCCCTCCTTGTTTGTGGATGTTCGTAAGTTTCCACAATAAGATTTTTTTTTAAAGTCTTCAGGCATCGACAACTTAAAATTCTTCCCATGTTTTCCTACTTAACTTGGAATAAAACCCTAAACCCTAGAGGCCTAGACAAGGTCCTCCCTGACCCCGGCTCCCGCCTCTCCACCCTGCCTTCACCATATCTAGCTCAGACCCTCCAGCTTCCTTGTCCCTGGATGTCTCTAGGCTCCTTTCAAGTCCCCCTCCTCCCCCACTTCTCTGCTCCCCCTCCCCCTCTCCCTTCCCCCTCTCCCCTCCCTCCTGCCTGCTCTACTTCTGTTCTCACATGACCTTCTCCCCCCTGATCCTCCTGCCTCCCTCCTGTAAAGACCCTGTAATGACCCTGGGCCCCCCCGCTAAGCCCGGTCAGCATGTCCATCTGGACGCTCCTCAGGGCCTTTGCACAGGCTGCCCCTTCTGCGGGAAACCCCCTCGCTTCCCCTAGCCATCTCACCACCTCCAAGACAACCGCACAGCCCCACACCCTGTCACAATCTTTGTCATCTTATCACTCAAGGGTTGTGAACTCGATGCCCCCGGGGGGAGAACCGTGGGAAGCAGCGGGTCCTCTTCCTGTTTCTAACACGGACACAGGCAGCCCGAGTATTCAGTGAACAGAAACATCTTCCCTCGTCCCAGAGGACAGTGGTGGAAGCAGAGTGATGTGAGGCCCTCTCCCACCTTAGGAAGTGTGGGAACCCGCCCCGGGACCTGTGGGTCCAGTGTCAAGATGCTTCTCCATCAAAGGTAGAAAAACGAGATGCTTTTACAACAAAGTTGGGTCCCGATAGACCCAGCGTCAGTCGAAAATAAACAAATCAGCCGACCTCACACCAAAGACACCCAGGGAGCCTCCTGCCTCAGCCTCGCCTGCCCCAGACCCACTCAGGACGCTCACACTGGCCCACAAGTGGCAAAGTCATCGCCCACAAAGCTGATTTTCTAGTAAACTCCTGAATAACCCATGCAATTTATTGAGTGCATGCATCAAAAAGGAAAAAATAAAAGAGCCCCTTGTGCGTGACCTCCCTGTGCCTGGATTTCCCCAGCCACGGACTAAGGATCACGACAGCCTCCCCGTCCCAACAGGGCAGGGGGTCCAGTGGGTTCACGTGAACGTGCACAGGACCTGGCTGGGAGTGAGCACTGTTCCTCTAGATGAGCAGCAGGCGCGCGGTCAGCCCCCGTGTGGGAGACAGCTGCAGGGGCGTGGTCCGTGCTGAGCTGGTGAGCCCATCCCTGCCCAAAGGGAACCGCCACCACCCAACCCGCGCTGTGGTCACAGTCTCCACCTTCCCAAGAAAACCCAGGGGTCTGCATGCGCCCATGTATAAAACGTCCTAATGCTTACACATGGGCCACAAATTCCCCCTGGAAAAAATGCACTTGGTGATCGGGGGCTCTGCATGGGAGGACTCCGATGTCATGACTGAGAAGAATCAGAAATGTGACCGTGCCCACAATCACAACCTTGTGAGTCAGTCTCCTGTTGCTATAACAAAAACCCGACATAATCAACTTATAATGAGCAGAGACGTATTTTGGCTCACAGTTTGAGGTGTCCTCGGACATCACTGATTGGCCCTGTTGATCTGGCACATCCTACCAGGAGTGTGCAAAACCATTCGCCCTGTGGCTGGGAAAGGAAGGGGTCTGGTCCACTGTCTCCCCTGAGGACGTGCCCCAATCACCCAAGAACCTCCCTCAAAAAGGTTCCACCATCTCCCAATCGTGCCACAGCCTGGGGACCAAGACTGTACACACAGAACTTTGGGGACTTGTGTCCAAAACATAGCAGCAATCATGTTTACAGAAAGAACAGCTGCCAAGGACTGAAGAGCCCATGGCTGGCCAGGTTCTGCAAAATGCTCAAGTCACAAAAACCGGGAAAAGGTAGAGGCCGCGGTTCAACCTGCTGTACAGGTGAGGACAGTGGCACTCAGAGAAGCCAAGCATGGGTCCCAAGGTGGCCCCGCGGGGACTGCCCTCAGGCCGTCTGCCCCAGCGTCAGAACCGAGCTGCTGCTCCGCGGTGGTACTTCTCAAGCGTCTGAACTCAGTGGCGTTCAGCAGGAGCCTGGTGTCATAATATGGAATCAATAATTTGCTTTATTGTCATTATTTTTCTGTCTCCCGTCTCTGGGTCTGAGCAAGAGAAGAGAAGGGGGAGGATTTCCTGCCCGGGGTGGGGGAGGGGGAGGAGGGTGGACCGAGGTCGGGGCTGGAAGATGCCATGGTGGAGCCAAGCAGTGGGAGAGGAAATGCAACCGATAAAGTTCTCGGAACTGAAAAGTAGGTCAGCGGCCTGGGCCGGGGGCTTCCCGCCCCTGCTCCTCATCAGGAACCAAGTGGGGGTCCAGCCTCCAGGCTCTGCCCGTCTCCCCTCCTCCTCCTTGCCCCTCTCTCTCCTCCGCCCCTCCTACCTCTCCTCCTCACCCACCTCTTTTCCTCTCCTTCCTCCTCCTCAAGGCTGCAAGCCCTCCCAGAATGACTTGTGGAGACCAAACTTAGCAAGAGGTTCCATCCCCAGGAGGAAGTTGGTGACTGCTGGTGGCTTTTATAAATTCACTGTCCCCCACACCTTGGTCTCATCAAAGCCGCGGAAACAGAAAGACCATGATGAGAGGAAAGGAAACTCCGGCGGGGGCTAGGGCTAGGGCTGGGCCCTTGGGCCCCCCCACCCCCTGCCAGCCCACCAGGGCCAGGAGGTGGAGAGCCTCTCTGGACCCACCTCGTGCTGTGGGAGAGGGAGGTGGCCCTGCCTCTCTTGGGTCAGAGACTCTGCATCTAAAGATGGGACCCGAGAGCTCCTGCCAGGGCTTGGGTGTTTCCATAAAGACACAGGCACACGAGGCACCCACTCGGCCCGTGGAGAGTGGCCCCCGACGCCATCCTTCCATGGCACGTCTGACTCTCCAACGGCACTTGCACACTTATTGCTGTTGGCACACCACTGTGCACACATGTCTTCGTGCAGGATCTGATCCCATCTTTGCAGTGAGCCTAGGAAGTGAGTATTTTCGCTTCCTTCCCCCGTATTACAGATGAGGAAACTGAGGCACTGGGAAGTGGTGGGCCGCGCTCAAGGTCACACAGCCAGGCAGTGGCACAGTGGACTTGGAGTCATCAGATGGCCATGCCCAGTGCCTCCTCGCCCGTACCATGTGACAGTGACATGAACCATAGGGACAATAACAATAATGAGCATCGATCCACCTTCGGGAGCCGAGCCTGCCTCCTCAGACCCAGGAGCCAAGACGCCCCTCCCGCCTCCGGTGGTGCTCCTTGGTGGAGGGCGGGGATCTGAACCCAGGCGCTCACTGCCCCCAGCCATCTCCTGCGCCCCTCTCATTCCCAGCCTCCAGCTGGCTTTGCCGGGGTCACTCTGCCTGGACAGTGTCACCTCCACTTCCTCAGGAGCTGGGTCACCCTTCGTTCAGGTTCCTCGCAGACACAGTTACCCCCCTGGGTCATAGTGTCCATCCTCCTGCCTCTGGGCATCACCTCCTGCTGCCACTGCTGCCCTGTGCCCAGGACCTCCCCTTCCCCAGGGGGCCCTCTGGGCCTGTCACCTGCCCCCCCCCCATCACCAGTCTTCCCCTAAGAACTAGACGGAACCAGGTGCAGTTCTGCCATTTATTTCGAGGACCGTGGTCAAGGGGCAGAGGACTCCCTGCGAGGTCTCCTGCTAAGCCCGGGATGTGAACCTGGGCTGGGCAGGAACCTCAGGCTGTGTGTGTGTGGTGTGGGGTCTGTCACCGTGAGGAACCAGGTCTCACCCCAATGTGGCGGGTGGGTGTCGCATGCCATGAACACTCACATGTGACGGTGACACCGGTGCGGGCGGCTGTGGGTGTCGCATGCTGGCATCACATGTGTGTGTCACGCAGCATCAGGACGGTGGCGACTGGTCTTGGTGGGATGGTGCAGTTGTGCGTGGATCGGGCGCTTGTGTGAGTCTGTAGTTGGGAGTGGCACCACGGAGGTGGCGGAGCCGTGAGCAGGACTCCGCATGAGGCCAGAGCAGTGACTACCCCGTCATCCTTTCTTTTAATCAGCAAGCGTCCCTGAGTGCTGGCTGCATGCTTGGTCCCCGTGACAGTGTCCTTGTCGGGGGACCAGCCAGCCGCTGGTGCTACCTGGTAACTGGAAACACCCTGTGGTGGGGCCGGAAACCATGGTAACTGGCAACGCTGGAAATCTGTGGGCGAGCCCAGAGTGTGTGACCTGACTGTGACTGTGACTGTGACTTCGGGCGGAGCAGGGCTGAGTTCTCCACGTGGAAAGTCCTGTGATCAATCCTCTGCCCACGCGCGTCCCCAGCCAATCCCGGGAGCCTTTACGCCACCTTCTCCCTGATCCAAAGTATAAATACCCGCATCCCCTCTTCCTGAATATCAGGCAAATCCGTGCAGCCCGCAAGGCCTGGGACCCCGCGTCCAGTCTGTCTGTCTGTGTCCCAGGCAGCTCCGCAGTCTGCGGGGGTCTTCCCAGGGCCTGTGGGTCTTCCGCCTCCCAGTGGCGTCCGCTGAACCCCCCCCTCCGGGGGTCCTCCGGGGTCTCTGCCTGCTGGGTTTCTGGTCCCCTGTGGCCCGCGTGGACGTCCTTGCGGGTGGGGTCCCCAGTCCGTCCACTCTTTCACACCATGAAGGCTCCGAAATAGGAGCGGGTGCCATCACGGAGCCGGATCAGGCGCTCCTCGGGCACTCGGACCACCACCTCCTCCCCGGCGTCCAGGTGCACCACGCCACCCAGGAAGCTGCTGTCCCACCAGAGGCGGAAGCTGTTGGCCCGCCCACAGGGGGACCGCCTGCTGACCAGCAGCTCCAGCTCCTTGGGGTAGCGAGGGGTGCGTTTGTAGAGTCCGTGGGTGATGGGAAGGCCACCAGTGGGGCCCTGGGGACAGCCGATGCCACCCAGCTGCACTTTGGAGTAGACATAGTAGTAGCCAGCCTCGGTGGTCACCAGGGCCCCGTTGCTGTAGTTGAGGCCCCTCAGGAAGGCCAGGCCCAGCTGCGTCTCCCACAGCAGCGGGCCCCCACTGCCCACCAAGCTGGCATTGGCCCCTGTGGAGAGCAGAGAAGGGGAGAGCTGGTCAGCACCTGTCCCACTCCTGCTGGGTGACCCTAGGCTGGTGGCCACCCCTCTCTGAGACTTTGCCTGACTGCTGGGCTCTTTGTATGGATTGATTGACTTTATTCCCTCTTTTGCAGATGAGGGAGATGGAGGCTCAGGGAAGCAGAGGACACCGCTCATTATGCCCTTCAGCTCATCTGCTTTGGCAGGTGGAGAAACGGGGGCCGGGGGCAAAGTGACGGGAACACCAAGAGGAAACTACCACCCAGAGCCAAGATGACCTGGTGCAATGCCAGCACCTGTGGTGGCAGAGCCAGAGACCAAGGCAGGACATGCCTGGGCCCAGCAGCCTCAACTTCCTGAGCCTCAGTTTCCCCCTCTGTAAAATGGAGCTATTAATGGCATTTGCTTAGCACTTTACAGAATTCCCAAGCATATGGCAGGGCGTGACCCAGAGGTAGCCCTCTAGAGGGTTTATTAAATCAGCAGAATTAGAAATGCACTCGTCCCCGGTATCCGTGGTCTCAATTTCCATGTTTCAGTTACTCTCAGTCAACTGCAGCCCCCAAATAGTAAATGGAAAATCCCAGAAACAACTTAGGTTTTAAGGGATTTTCATTATAACACAGTGTTGTACCTGCTCTATTTTGTTATTCGTTATGGTTAACCTCTCACTGGGCCTGATTTATAAATCCCATTCTGTCATAGGTGTGCATTCACAGGAAAAAATGTGGTCTGTGGTCTGGCGTTGCGGCTCAGTGGTAGCACGCTCGCCTGGCAGGCGCGGGGCCCTGGGTTTGATCCTCGGCACCACATACAGTCAAACAAAGGTATTGTGTCCAACTACAACTAAAAAATAAATATTTGGAAAAAAATTTTTTAAAATGTGGTATGTGTGGGGTGTGATGCTGTCTTGGTTTCAGGTGTCCCGCGGGGGTCTTGGGACACAGACCCATGGACAGCACAGGACATTACGTGCTTGGACATGCAGGGCACTGGTCTCCCAGAACCCCTGGACCCCACCGCATACCGGCACCTAGGTCCCCCTTACCTGTGAGGTGCGCTGCTGGGTTGGCCTGGGGGGATCTCTGCTCTGGAGAGAGAGGGACAGAGGTTAGAGGCAAAGACAGTGAGGGGTAAGGGTCAGCCTCCTAGGGGTCATCACAACTATCTCCCGTGTCCACCCCAGCCCTTCCGGAGTGACCCAAACTTCTGCTTCTCAGGCCAGGGGGAGGGGCACCTGCGTGGCTGGGACCAGTTGTGCAAATCGCATTGGGCAATGGGCTGGGGGCGGGGGCAGCATGGAACCATTCCCCCTCCTTCCTGGGAACCGGGACCTGACTCACCTTGCCTCAGCTTCTCCCTGGAGCCTGCGTCTGGGTCCTGAAATGCAGAAGGAACCCACAGTGAGTACCTGCCACACCCCAGGATCCCTCAGACATATGGCAATGACACAGCCAGACTCTGACTGTGGACACCACCCTTGGACGCGTACTTAGGGCCACGTGGGTGCACGGGGGCATGCACACACACACACAGGCACACACACACCCCTCCCAGCAGCCTCTGAACCACTTGCTCTCCCTCTCTAAAAGGAGTTATGAGGAGTGCCCCCTCCGGGTTTAATAAACTAAGTTGTGTAAAGCACATTACAGCGTCTGGCACGCAGTACCCCCCGTGGAGGGGTCTACTAGGTGAGCAATGCAGGTGAGCAAGGATGTCAACACATTCTTATCTGAAATGCTTGGGGCCAGAAATGTTCCAGATTTGTGGTGGGGGTTGGGAATATTTGCATAGATTGTTATCAGTTGAGCATCCCTCATCCAGAAACCCCAAACGGTCCAAAACCTGAAACTTTTAAGCATCACATTATACTCAAAGCTTTCTGGATTTGGGAGCATTCAGGATGTCAGATTTTGGGATTAAAAATACATGGACATCCAGACGGCTGGACACAAGGACACCATCCAGGATGCCTGACAGGGCCCAGACCTCAACTTTTAAGGACAGGGAGAGGACACATGTGGACTGAGACACTTGGGCGCATGGGTGATGGGTCCAAATGAGTCACAGATGCAGAGGCAATGACAAAGAGCACATCCGCACCCGGGGTGTAGCAGGTGAGTGTGTGCACGTGTGGGTAGCTGTGCCCAGGACAGCAGCACTGTCCCCATGACGTGTGCCCATGGACATGCGGCCACCGGAGCTGAGGACCAGGAGACAGGACATGGACACAGAGGGACAAGACCACCTGGGACACTGTGGCACGAGCATGTGCCTGGGTGGCACACAACATGAGGATGGCCGACTGGAATCCAACGGAGATCCAGGCCCCCAGCCCCAGGCGGTCCAAGAGGACGGGTGGGAATCTCAATGCAGGGCCGAGGGTCCGGCTAACGATAAAGCCATGCCCGAGAGTCCCTTCTGATCGGCTGTGCACTTGCTTGGGCCAGCCACTGCCGCGCACCCCACGTACCCCAAATCATGCCTCATCCCCTAGGAATCGGCCACTCTTACCCCCATTACAGAAGGGGAATCTGAGGCTCAGAGGGGTGCACGGACTCCCCTGGGCTGGCAGCAACTCGGGGTCACACACTTTCAGTCCCTCACACATGCGCAGACACACAGACACACCATGGCACAGGAGACCGCCCTGCCAGCCCCCCGCCCCACTCACCGGCAGGCGGGTGACCACTTCCCCCAGGCGCCAGTGAAGCTGCAGCAGGAACCAGCCCTGGACGGCCAGCCCGGCGCCCAGCAGCAGCAGCAGGAGAGCCAGGCTGAGCCGCGCAGGGCTGCAGCACTGTCTCCTGTGGCTCGGCCCCAGCCTCCTGAATGGGATGTCTGTTTGTCCATCCACCACAAATACAGAGGGCCGCACGACTGTCTCCTCCATGTCCAATCAGACGAGGCCCAGGATGCCCGGTAGGGCCCGCGCTGAGCGGCTTCGGCTCAGAGGAAACCACAATTGCCCAACAGCCTGGGCTCCGCAGGCTGCAGAAGGCGCCCCTGGGCTCCGGGGCTGCCTTTAATGCCAGGGTCAGCTCCTCCCCTTCCCCACGCACCCTCCTCTTCTTCCTGTCCCCCAGGCCCTGCCCCCTGTCACTCTCACTGAGGCGGTCTCTCACACTTTCCAAAGACATCTGAAAATGTGACTCAGGTGCAGGTCTGGAGGGGAGGCCCCAGCTCGCCTTCTCAGTGGCTTTGTTTCCTTGGTGGCCAAAGGTTTCCTGCGGAGCCCCTGTGTGGGCCACGCACCGCCCTGGGTTCAGGAGACAGCAGTGAATGAGAGGGGCAAGGTCCCTGCTCCTGTGGACCTCCTACTGCCCCAGGTGAGACACAGCCTGACAAATCAAACACTGCGGAGGTGCAGAGGTGTAAAGAGTGCTGTGCTGTGTGCCTGTGTGTGCACTCGTGTGGATCCAGGTGTATGTGCGTGTGTGAGTGTGTGCGTGCATGTGTGTGCACATGTGTGGGCATATGAGCAAGTGCACACGTGGGGTGTTGTGCACACACACATGTTCTGTACATGTGCTTTCAGGTCACGTATATGTGTGTGCAGGTGCACCTCTGTGTGTGCATGGGTGTCGTGATGTGGTGTGCGCTTGTGCATACGTGTGTGCACTCATGCATTCATAGGTCTACGTTTTTGCCTACAGGTACATGCTTGTGTGTGTGTGTGTGTGTGTGTGTGTGTGTGTGTGTGAGGGTGGATTTTGAAGGTGGAGTCCACAGTTGGGATGTCCACCCAGTTCACTAAATCCAAGGCCTGGGAGCCCTGGTGGTCTTCTCCCCCTGTCTTGACCCCACCCTTCAGCACCCCTGTCACTTCAACCTGCAAACCTGATCGCAAGTCCTGCCACCTGTTTCCATTCCTACTGCCACCCCCTAGCCCTCCAAGTCACAGGGGCGGTCTTAGGCGGTGTGCGTTCAGGTGCGTGTGATAATCACTTTGGGAGGTGAGTAGGTCATGAAGCATGGGATTGGTGCCCCTGGAAGAAAGACGGGAGATTGTCCTCCTCCATGTGAGGGTGCCACCTGTTCACCAGAAGCCATGCCGGCTGCCCCTGTCATCGAGGCCTTCCAGTCTCTGAGCCGAGAGAGCTGCGCTCCTTTGGGCCTCGGCATCTTGAGGCCCCAGCTGACGGAAGCCCAGGGCGCCTGGCCTCTTCCTGGGACTGCTGCAGGAGCTTCCCGGCTGGATGTCCCGTAACACGTCTTTGCTCCTCAAAATTCACCCTCCACCCTCCAGGGAGGGTGAGCTTGCTTGTGTATTGATTGTCTTATTGGGCAAAAGTTACCTGACATAAAGCCATTAAAAATGAACAACTCGGTCACAACTTGTCCATGACATTGTGCCACCAACTCATTCTGCTGCAGAGCGGTTTCCTCTGCCCCCAAAGGATGCCCCAGAGTCCTTAAGCGGCCGGCCCTACCTGCCTGTCCCTTCCCCAAGCCCGGGCAGGCACTGGGTTTGTCTGTATGGACATTTCACAGAGGTGGAAACAGCCGGCGGCTTCGTGTCAGGGTTAATTCATGGGCTGCTGTGGCCGAGGCTCCTCGGCAGCGCGGCATGGATCACGCGTCATGGCTCTGTTGCGTCTCACGACTGGACCAGTCAGGGTCACTCCAAGTGAATTTGGGGAGTAAATAAAGACACAGACACACAAAGCACCTTTTCTTTGGGTCCAGTGCTCCTCAGCTGCAGCTCCCACAAGGGGGGCAAGGCAGGCAAGAGAGTGGGGAGCACATGAACCCTTTTATTGGGGAGAAGCCATTCAAATGAGGTCAGGGCTGGGATTACAAAGGAGTTGGTGAGTAGCTCACCCCCCAGGTGACACCTACACCTGAAGCCACCCTTGTTATCGGAGCTGGGGTAACGCCCAAGTTATTATGGCCTGGCAATAATTGGCCAGTGCCCCAGGGCATCAGGACTTGAAGGTCTGAATCCAGGCGGCTCCTACACTGCTCCATTCCCTTTAGAACACGAGGCTGGCCCGGGTTTTGAATGCCCATTCTCTGGAGGATGCACATGTTTCCCCTTGGGGACTGTGAATACTGCTGCTGGGAGCGTGCACCTCTGCTGCTCCGAGGGCCCGTTTTCAGTATGTTTTCCAGGAGTGGAATTGTTGCTGGGAGATTTCATTCATTTATTTATTTTATGGATTGAACCCAGGGCCTCGTGCATGCCAGACAAGTTACCTACCACTGAGCCACACCCAGCCCTTTGTATTCTATTTTGAGACAAGGTCTCACTAAGTTACCCAGGATGGCCTCAAACTTGAAGTCCTCCCCTGCCTAAAATGTTCCAGTGACTTCCCACTGAGCTGACAGAGTGGGCAAATTACAGCCCATGGGTCAAAGCCAGCTGGTCCTGTTTCTGAGCAGCCCTGGACAGAGCTCCAGGTGGCTGCTATGATGGTGAGATTGGAGACCCTGCTGGGGTGGCGGCCTCTGCCTCTGTCCACCCCAGCCCACCTCCCTGGCTAGCTGATGGCTGCCACCAGGCCACCCTCCAAAACATGTTCATCACCACCTCCAAGTTGGAGCCTCCCTTCAGCCACTGCTGGGCGCTGATGGGTGTGACCTCCCTTGGGAGGCAGCAGCTCACATGCTGCCTGGCCTCTGGACGGCCACTGCAGAGGACAGCCAGGCCCTGCCCAAACACTTTGCTGGGACTTGGTTGTTGCTGGAGCAGAGAAGGAAGCTGCATTGAGGGCCAACTCTCAGTCCCCAACCTGCCTGCATTTCAAGTGACCCTTGGATGGAGATAGAGACAAGGAGGGAGAAAGAGAGACAGGGAGGAAAAGAGAGAGGGACAGTGACAGAAAGAGAGAAAGAGGTAGAGGTAAGAGAAAGAGCAGAAACAGAGACAGGAGAGAGCTGGACAGGGAGAGGCCCATGTATTTAGAGACCGGGCTCCCAGGATGGTGGGTGTGGGCAGGCTGGAAATCTGCAGGGCAGCCAGCAGGTGGAGGCCTCTGGGGAGAGCCCAAGGTGCGGCCTTGCATCCAGGAGCTGGGAACGGAGGCGGAGCTCTGCCTCCTGTGTCACGGCCTTGAGTCAGAAGCCCTTCTCAGGACATCTCAGTGTAGGCTCCTCAGGGGACCGGTCATCTCCGACCCTGCCACCCAACCTCATCCAGGGCCAATGCCTGACCTGCAAGTCCACTGAGATGCGAATCCCACCCCAAAGACCTCCCCAGCCTCAGTTTTGGTCTTGGTCACTGTGACCAAATGCTCCACCCAGCTGGGACAACCAGCCGGGACAACCTTTCTGGTTGCCCTCCTCCTTTTCTGTCTGGCTGAGTGCCCTCTGTCCTCCAGTGTCCTTTCCTTTCCCCCTCCCAGAAGGTCAGGTTCACAAGATCCCTCCTGTGCTGGTCACAGAACTGTGCACAGTGACCCCCAACACCCCCGAGAGTTAAAGAAATGAATACAATGGCCCCACCTGAAGCCAGGGTTTTGAGGTGAAGCCAGATCCCCCTTCTGCTGGCAGACGGGTTGGAGCAAACTGCGCCTCGCCGGTTTCCTTCTGGGGCCTCTGGTCCAGCCAATGTGAAGAATAAAACCCACAGACAATAACGAAAGGGGAGGTTGAATGGAGCAGGAGTCAGGACCTGAGAAGAGGGAATTCCCGAGGTGCCGGGGGAACTGATGGTGTACAGCGCCAAGACCCCCCACTCAAGCCCCGACGCTTTCCATCAACTCAGAAAGATTTCAGACATTCACCCAGAGTAACAGGCATGAGTTTATTGAAGGTTTAGGAAAAGGGAAAGGGGACATTCTCAAGGGGCAGAGTGGGTCCTCTGAGAGAGGAGATGGACAACAAGCCTCTTCTGCGCTCCAGATTTATTGGGGAGTCCAGAGAAGTGTCCAGAGAGTTCCACCCACATCTGCCTCTTGAGTTTTGATTGACAGCGGGATGACATCAGACTTCCAAGTCCCCATGCTGACCCTTCTAATAGGATTCTTTTTTTAAAAAAAAATTTAATAGCTGTCGATGTTCAGTGTGACTTAATTATATTTATTTATTTTTATGTGGTGCTAAGGATGGAACCCAGTGCCTCACACATGCTAGGCAAGCATTCAAACACCGAGCTACAGCCCCGGCCCTCTAACAGGATTCTGAACGAACATTCTTAGAGGTTATGGGGAGAACTATTCTTATATCCTGAAGTGCCGGGATCTGTCTGTGGAAAGAGTCACAGCCATCTTCCCCTCGGGGTAACTTGGGTTCCTCTTGTCAACCTTATTTCCAACCTGCATTTCTCCTGCAGAAGCAGGTAGTTTCCTGAGGAATGTGACAGATCCTGTCCACTAAAGCCAGGCAGGGCTGCAGGTCAGCAGCTTCTTGGGAAACAAAGGCATCCAGGGCTGAGCACAGTGCGCTTGCTTTGTGGAATTAGTCCCTGAACCTCGAGTTCCCACCACTCACCTCTGTCAGCCCCTGGCACAAGCAGGAGGGCCGGGAAAGTGAGAAAGAGAAGGTCCCAGAGAAGGACAAGGAGGTGGGGGTGTGACAGGGTGAGCCAGGGACTCAGGGGAAATGAGGCACCAGGGACCCCCTTCACAGAGCCTCTGGCATTTGGGGGCACTAGGAAGTGCCTAGGGCTGTGAGGTGGTATCCCCCACATTCCTGGACTGGGAGGCGGGGTCTTCCTGGACTTGGAGTTCTTAGGGGGAGGGGCTGTGCACCCTTCTTCCCAGAGCAAAGGGACTTCCCCAGGTGACCTCAACCCTGGCTGGATGCCAGGATCCCACCCATGCACAGGCCCTTCCCAGAATTGAGATTTCAAGGGACTAGATGTGCACTTTGAAGAGGCACTTGCCATAGAAACACCCCACCCCCACCCCCACCCTGCCCCACTGTGGCTGCTGCTCCCAACAGCACTGGTGAGGCCCTGACCTCAGCTGGCCCAAGGTCCCTCCCCCTTGCTGACTCATGTCTTCCCCTCTCCAGTCAGAAATACCTCCAAGGCCACCCACCTGCCAGCAGCCCCTGAC